ATTTCCATGTGCTAACCTCCATGGTGACCTTCAGAATTTCTGACCCAGATGGAACAAGAAATGCAAGTGCTTTCATGATGCATGTGAGTTGAGTGTTTGACTCTAACATCTGATCCTCTGGAGGACAAGGAAGAGCCTGATGTTCTCAGAGGGCAGGAGGCTGTGCATGTCCACACGCATGGTGTGAATATTCTCAGAGGATGGAGGCTGTACATGTCCTCATGCATGGTGTGAATATTCTCAGAGGGTGGAGGCTGTGCATGTCCGCATGCATGGTGTGAATATTCTCAGAGAGTGGAGGCTGTGCATGTCCACATGCATGGTGTGAATATTCTCAGAGGATGGAGGCTGTGCATGTCCACACGCATGGTGTGAATATTCTCAGAGGGTAGAGGCTGTGCATGTGCACGTGCGTGGTGTGAATATTCTCAGAGGGTGGAGGCTGTGCATGTCCACATGCATAGTGTGAATATTCTCAGAGGGTAGAGGTTGTGCATGTCCACATGCATTATGTCAATAAACTCAAGAGGGTGGAGGCTATGCATGCACATCTCCATGGTGTGAATATTCTCAGAGGGTGGAGGCTGCGCATATGCACACTCATGAGGTAGATGTCCTCAGTGGGTGGACCTGTGTGTGTGCATCTCCATGGTGTGGATGTTCTCAGAGGGAGGAGACTGTGCACAAGCATGGTGTGGATGTTCTCAGAGGGTAGAGTCTGTGCATACAAACGTTGTGGACAGGATGAAGTACAGAGAGTTAAACATGGTGCTAAGCCACTCTGTCCCAAAGGACCTGCCTCCCCTTGTCATGGGAAATGGAGAGTGGAGGTGAGAAGGATGGGAAGGAGGAGATTACAACAGATAGCAAAACTGAGACTCCTGGCTCCACAGAGCCCCCTCATTTCTTCAAGGAGTAATCTGACAGCATACTTTGATTTGAAAACATTATACATCTCAATTGTAATTAAGAAATTCCGACTGGCGTGAATATGTAATATACACTCTGTTTTCGCACATGCCTTTTCTCCCGACAGGCTGGTGCCGACTTTAATTTGGAAGAAATCCATTTTCATACAAAGGTAACCAAGAGTGACAGGAAATAGGAAGCCTACATCATTTATCTTCTGTGAACTTGGAACAAAATCAGTTAATTGCTTTTCTGGGAAGCTATTTTGTAGAATCATGGCATTTCGTTTTTCTACTCACACTTGTGACATAAATGGTGATTTTTTTTTTAAGAAAACGCTGGTCATGAAAGTGCTATGTTTAATCAATATATCTTAAACTATTTCAGTGCACATTTTAACAAAGCAAATCTAATCAGCCAAACAGTTACTCTACCCTTGTGGATGAAGTATCAATCACAACTAAAGCTCCTAACACAGTTCATTAACTGACAGTCAAATTTAGAGATCTCTTTCCAGGTCAACAAAGCTATGTGTGATAGGGTTCGCTTCGCCCCTTGGACTTTAAATACGTTCCCATGCTAGCTGTCAGGAGTCTGTGCAATAGCATATTCAAATCACTGCCATGAGCAATGAGATGCATAGGCTGTGGAACAACTCTGCAGATACTGCAAACTTCCCAAAAAGCTGACTGTCATCTATGAGGACACCTTGGCAAGCGGGGGCCTGCATTAATATGCTTCCTTTTGATTCTTCAACCAGCAAGTAAAAATAGTATGCTTTTCCATGGCTTTGTCATGTATGTGCCTACCCCATACAGCCCAGAATATAAATAGGTACTAAATTCGGGTCTGATATGAAGTACTTTTCCAAATAAAAGGTTATTATTTTAATAACGATTTCACATTACCCCATGAGTCGTAGACTGGAAGATCGTTAAACTAGGCACACTTAAATTTCAGTGTCCTCAATGCCCAGGAAGGGTCTTAGAGATGTATTTACATAGATGTATGATTTATAAAACTTGCAAATCCCGCAAAAACTGTATCTGCACCTCTACGTTAACAGTCCCCAAAGGCTCAACCTGCAATAATGTGAGTGTGTGTGTGTGTGTGTGTGTAACAAAAATAACTCACTTCAATTGGAAAATATTTGCCATGACCTGTCTTATGATGTTCTAGAATGCATGTTTCAGCCATTTGTTAAGTCCCCTGCCTCTCACCTAACAACAGATACGTTTCCAAGTGGCACTCTAGGGGAGTCTCACTTAATGAGGGGTGGCGTCGAGAATAGGAGACTCAGCTCTAACAACAAAAATATGTTTTTCATTAAACCCAAAACTGAACTGGGATAAACCAGCTAAGAGGCAGGTGTATCGGTTAAGGAATCCTCCTGAGGCCTTTAACTTCCACATCAAACTGCACTAGATTTTTCTACACTAATTACCCATTATTGGAGAGTAAAGAATTATAACAAATAACCTTCTGTGGCAGCAGACAGAATGAAGCCATTGTAAAGGAAAGAGCACAGGCTTGATGGAATATAAAAACAGGCAAAAGAGATTCCAAATTTCTCCATTTTAAAACAAATAACAAGATTGTTCCACTACAAGGATGGTGTAGATGAGAGAATGTTCTTGGGACTAGAAGACTGATTTTAAAATTAGTTGGCACTGTGAACTACATTGCAAATTAAAAGGCTAAGTACTAGAGATGGATTTATTCAATACATAAAGATAGATATCCTGAAAGCAGAGATCACACTGTAGATTTCTATTATCTCAAGTCACATTGCACCAAGGCATCAAAGTGACTTTGTTAGGAGGAAGGTACTTACACAATGCCTAACATCTATTTGCATGCATATTGCATGCATGTGAGTACACGTGTATACACACACACACATACACAAACACACAAACACACACACACACACACACAAACACACACACACACACACACACACACACACACACTTCCAGTTATCTCCTTATCAATGCATGCCTGGCCTCTTTGACACTCTCAGGATAGAATGTGGGGAGGCAACAGACTGTCTGTTCTCAATGCTGTGTATAGGAGCAACAGAACAGTTTCTATGTATCACTCTGATTTCTCACATTAGGCCTCCTTCTTTCAGGCATGACCTTGTAATTATCAAACTCGTACAATACATCGTTGTCCCCACTCTGGGATCCTCGGAGGGCATCATGTTGATGTCCAGAGTACTGGTAATTCACTAAACGCCTTCTTAATACCGTGCAGGTGTCTGCACAAGGCTACACTGGGTTACCCAGAACTAACGACCTCACTGGATTCTAAATGAGTAAACCGTTACCTAAGAAACCAAAGATGATGCAGTAGGAAAACATAATCTCAACAAGTAGTCAGCTAAAAGGAAAGTTGTAAATGCAACCCTGCTGGCTTAAGTTGGTCACCACTGTTCAAGGATGGGCTAAACATTCTTTGCCAACAAAGATCATTGGATGACAAGCACAGAAGCAAAGAGCCTGAGGAATTCAGTTCAATACTGAGGTATCCATGTGTTTCCTACCAACAAAGGCCTAGGGAACAGGTGCAGTTATTTTAAAGTTTGATCCATGTCAGGCAGCCCAACTACCTGTAATTCCAGGTCCCAGGCATCCTACATCTCTGATCTTCATGGGTACCTGCATTCACATGCATATACCCACACATAGATACACACATAATTTTAAAAAAATAAAAATAATTATTTTTTAGACGCCTGGAGGAATTACAGTTTGCTTTCATTGTTTCTAATGAATCCTGCTTCCTAATTGCTAGAATACATCATAAACATGCAATCAAAAGAAGCTACTGGTGCACGTCACCACATATCCTAATTAAAACCTTAGTAAACACCTCCTGGAGTGCAAAAGACTGTCTCTCTCTGAGTGACAATCTCTAGGTAACAAGGTTATCTCCCAAGTGGCCCATGGGGAGTTCCAAGAGAAACGCTATGCTCAGTCTTGTCAAAAACACAACAGGAAATGCCAAATCCTTTGTTTCTTTTGGCTAATAAATTGGATTAAGATGTAAAGAACACTCTGGTCACATCATCACTCCATCTTTAAAGAAGAACATGTCAAAGGGAAAAACGGCTTTGCAGTTCCTAAGGACACTGCTAAAGGAAGACAGCCTCACCTCCTGTGCTACATCGCAGGGAGCAAACAGAAGCAAAGGCATGCAGTCGTAACTCCTCTTCGCATGCTCCTGACAACTATCATCAATCTGGAATACGGCATGACACGTGCTACTTTAAAAAAGATTGCTTTCCATCCAGATTCACTAGTGGTTCAAGCAGCCAGTCACTGCCTTTCCTACAACCTGTCCAGAGCCAGGCTTGTGTAGAATTCTCAGACTCAATGCATCGACTCCACACATTATGTAATGCAATGAACAGGGTCAAAATGTAAACCAGGAAGAGTATGAACTGAAATACTTTATCCATCCGGAGAATGTGCTCACAGAGCCGAGTATTTTTATATCACAAGAAAAGTCCACGTAAGAATTCTGTTTAACTAATATGAGTGAATCTAAATCACAAGTCTTCTAAAGGTGTGGATACCTAATATACTGGAATATCAACTAGACCCACTATTGATTTAATACTTTACAAATTCTTATAAGACTTCCTTTAAGAAGTTTATCATAAAACTTTTCAAAATTGATAAAAAAAAATGTTAAGAGTTCTGAACTATTTTACAGGGAAAAAAAAAAAACTTAGCTCCTTGAAAGCTGAATTACAGCCTTTGAAGTGGTTTATATTGCTGTTACATATCTTAGTCAATCCCATCTCGTTCATGAAACTCTATGAACTCAACTGAAGGAGGCATTCCTTCCCTAAGTAATTCCTACACATGCACAAACACATACATATATATGTACATATATTTTCAGTACTTAGGATAATCCTATTATGATGAATTTGAGAATTTTAACAACTATAACTTTGGTCTGAGGGCTACAAAGCTTATCACATCAACGGAGAGGTGAGAGGGTAGAAACACGAAAACTGCATTTTCATGCCATGCTGCTAATTTGTTGCATGCAACTGACAATGAAAACAGACTCACCTCTCCTTGCTTGGGGATGCTGAACTTAGCAAGCTTGGCTTTGGCTCTGGCTGACTCGGGTTTGTTGCCTGGGACCCCTCTGTAGGATGTGCAGTGCACACCAGTTTCTGTGGATGACTTAAGCTTGGGAGACTCATCAGGAGCCTGGTCTTGGCCGTCCATGGGCCGCACATACGCTGTTGGTTTCTGCTGGACCAGGCTGGGTTTTGAAGCCAAGGATGGAGGAAAGTTCTGAACACAGTGTCCACTGCTGCTGTGCTTGGCCGCCATGGCAGGGGGCCTCTCCTGGGTCTGAAGGCCCGCCTCCACATTGCATACTTGCTTGGCCCTTGTCTGCTGTCTGCCGACACCATCACCAAGCAAGGTCCTGAGAGAGCCCTGTTGTGCTGAGTTGGAAGAAGAAGGCAGTGAGGGTGAGGATGAGGGACTCCACACACACTGTGGTTCTTTGAGATCTGCGCAAAGCAACTGCCTTATGCCCCTCCTTACCTGCTCTCTGTTGGCCGTCAGACGATGAGTGCCCAGTCTTCTGCCAGCCCATGGTGCCCCTCTTACTCTGCTGCACAGAGACAGCTGCAGGTGTGGAAGACGCAGTGCTACAGACAGATGAGGACTGGGGCTGGGCTCTTGACTCAGCTGCAAAATGCTCATCTACCTTGTTCACGGGAGTCTGGGGAACACCCGGCTTGGGGACACCGACGAGATGGCTCTGGTTGGATCTGTCGGTTAAAAAGTCTTTCATTTCGTCATAATTTCCTAATGTATTCTGAATCCGGTTGGAGAGTTCATCCCCCTTGTTAGTCTGGAGAAATAAAAACAAATCCATGATACTAGAGAGTCAAGACATAGGTGCCAGTGAAGTAACATGCCCAAAACAGATAGATTCAGAATGAGAGCTGAGGGAGGAAATCCAAGTTTTTTTGGACTCTGAAGATAGCTATAAGCCTCCATTATTCAAGAGCTGGAAACTTGTAATAGATAGCCTTGGGCATATTAAAAAACAAGAAAGCTGTCCTTGGTATATCGCGCCATAACCAAAATATATTTGTTATTTTATATGTATGTAATGTGGAAATTATAAAATTTACTCTTATAACTTCACAAAATGGTCTATATTGTCTTTCTTGGATTAGATTATGGTTGTTTTGCAGAAACACTAAAAGCTTTTTTTGAAAATTTAGATTTGGCTCAATATAGGTTTGCTTCCAAATTCTAAATAAGTAATTATTCTTGCCAGGAAACACAGTGTGTCAGGCTAGAGGAACTTGGGTAAACTGAGAAGTAATATAAGATCAAATATGCAAAATTCTCCCACCCTAAACTGTCTGCATTGCATGCATCCTGAAATATCTGTGAACCTTGGAAGACACTCCATTTTGGAAAAAAGGTGAACTCTGTGAGTACAGCAATTGTGTCTCAGTAGTTGGACTTCAGGTAAAACGAGAAGGGATTTTGCAACATCTTATTTTAAAAAATTATATAAAGTGTGTCTGTGTGGGAGGGAGGGAAGGAGGGAGAAAGGGAGGGAGGGAGAAAGGGAGGGAGGGAGGGAAGGAGGGAAGGAGGAAAGGAGGGAAGGGACAATTTGTAAGATTCAGTTTTCTCCCTCCTCCATCTGGGCCCTAGGGATCAAACTCAGGTCTTCAGGCTTGGTAGCTGCTACCTCCCCTCACTGCACAGTCCTGAAAAACCCCAATTTCATTAGCCCTAACAGGTGCCTTGATCCTTGCATGGACCACAGATATCAACTATCTAACCTAAACCCTTTTAAATAGTTTTTAAGAGCTCAGAAAACATAACAGATGGCATTAATCTTAAAACCAAAGAGATGAAGTCTGAATTATTGATAAAAATCCTAATAAGTGAGTCTTAGTGTTACACTTCACCGATGAAGTAAAGGAGCCCATGGAGCCTTGCAAGCTAAATATCATTATTTAGGGGTGGGGCTATCTTCCCTGGCTAAACAGACCAAGAACTAACTGGAGTTTCTTGTCGACTCCTTCACAGGACATTCCTGGCAGCTACAGGGGAGGTGAACAGCTGAAAACCATCTACCTTGTAGGGTTCACTGAAGAGAGAGTAACTGGAATTAAAGCCGCCACTGTCCTGCTGCGCTTCCTGGCTTCTTCTTTCTCGTTCTTTCCTCCGTAATGCACTCCTATCTGGTTCATAGACGCTGCACCAGGAGAAAGGAAAGAGAACAACCCCCAAATTAAAGAGCCAAGCCCAAAGTCACAGACACCCGGTTAAAGGACAAATGGCAGTGACAACAGGAACACAGATGAGCTTCACGTCTGGCTCGGAAGGCCAACTGAACTCCATGCCTGAGAGTCACATTCTCCCAGAGGGAAAATCCGCAGGACAAGTTCCAACCAGACTTAGGCTCCTCTGCCTGGTAGTGCAAGAAAGGAACTATGAGGGGGGGGGGGGACTTGATCGGGGGAGGGGGAGGGAAATGGGAAGCGGTTGTGGGGACGAGGCAGAAATTCTTAATAAATAAATAAATTAAAATAAAAAATAAAAAAAAAAAAGATAAAAAAAAAAAAAAAAGAAAGGAACTATGTAAGCAACTCTGACAGCAGACTGAGCACCTTGCTCGGGCCCGCGGTAATTACTTGGATGTGTAAATAGAAATTATGAGCCTACTTCCTCTCATGACACTGCCTCTGAGTGTTATATGGGAATGCGCCTGGCTGGGATTGTGTGTGTGTGTGGCATGTCTGTGTTTCTGCAGTGATTCTATCATTAACTAGCTCCCCAAAGAGCTGTTAAAACCCATGCTGCAGTGGGTTTCACAGTTAAGAGCCTTCTCCTGATCTCTGTTAATCAGTCAAGTCGGCAAACGACAACGGAATCAATTCTTCCTTTTGATATATCTGACACTATCACGCCTCCCAACCGTAAGAAAAGAAAATGCGCTAGGAGAAAGGGGTACAGGCGGCAAAGGAAGGATGGAAAACTGAATTATATCACTGTCATCATGAACTAAGCCTTTTGGCCGAAGAAAATGAATCGTCTATTTGCCAAAATACAATCACGGAATGGCCAGACACCAAACCATTGGAAGTACGAAGAGGGAAGTGTGCCATTCCCCTCCTAAGGAGAAAATAAAGGGGTGAATACAACTAGTGATGAGAAAGTGTTCTCTTCCTAATGAAAGGAAACACACTGGCCTCCGGGCCTAGTGTAAGCGTGCGGCGATCAGGGAAGCACGCATCCCCAAGAACTGGCACTGCCCTCATTTCCCAGCAGAAGTAAAGAACGAGAGTGGTCTAGGGAGCAGAGAGGTGAGCTGGGAGCCAAGACACCTACCCACTAATTAAAATTCTCCATGGTCCAGAGAGGAGATTTTTAAAAAGCCACCCCACCTCTTTACCCCTCAGTGTCTCCATTATGAGGCAGGGATTTCTTAGGGCATTGCTGTACGGTCAATGATGGTAGTTGAGAAGTGCTGGGACATTTAGGAGTCTTGAAATCCGGGGTACGGCTATTAACATATGGTTAAAAATAAAAGGATCTGTGGGTTCAAAAGAACTTTGTGAAAATAGTAATATTTTAAAAGTTAAATAGCCTTATTTTTGTCATGTAGAGTCAGGGAACACAAAAACATGGTGATAAAAAAAAAAAAAAGTACTCCTCATGCCAGTTCAGTCCATGTGGCCAGGACATATTTAAAGTCACTGTCTGTCGGGTGACACTATACTTGCTTGTGGCAAGGCTACTCCTGCCCCTGAGGCATTTAATTTAAATTTAAAATTAGGGGATGCTAAAATATCCGAGCAAGGAGGTCATTAGCATTTTAATTCATCCTCTTAGTACATTACCCAAAGTTATTAAGCTTGAGAGCCCAACCAGTGTCCTTGCATAAAAAATCCTCTACCAATAGGGAGGCTCGGCCTTCCAATGTCACAGCCATCTTCTGAGCATGGGTGAGGTGATGGCAACCAACCCAGTAGGGACCCTCTACACATTCATTCACAGAACCTGGCTTCCAAGCCAAGGGAGCCGCTGTTACTGGTAGCTGCTGGCCAGATGAACCCCCGACTTCTGTAAACAACCCCATGGGTTTTACACAATGACAAGATGGAAGACACACGATGTATGATAGAATCATGAAGTGGACTTTAAACAACAGGGGACTATTATCAACTTCTATCTTTAGAATGATGTCGACTGGCATTTACAAATAAAGAAAGGAAGGAAAAAAGGAATGGAGGGAGGGGAGGGAGAGCGGGCCTTGCATTACATGCATCAGAACTTCCCTTCTCTGCAGCACATACAATAGTGAGAGGATGAAAGCAGCACCTGGGTGCTACCCATCAGACAGACACGTCTACACACGTCATGCAGGCCACCCTTAGCCAGGCCAACTAAACACAAGACTGGGGCGATGCGTGGAGTGCCTTATGGAGGATGAACAGGCAGGTGGTCGTTCATGACAGTGGTTGGGCTTCTGAAGAGGCCCCCACACTCAAAGTTATACCTCCTGCATCTGCTGGCTGATGACTGAAATTCCAGAACTAGGGAATCATTCCTCTGGCTTAAGATGTCTTCACCCCTGTAAAAAAATACAAACACCACAAGAAGAGAAAACACTTTAAACCTGACGAGCCTGCATTTGGTATCTGTGCATGGACAGGCCTGAGAAGCATTTCCCTCAAAGGCCTAAGGGAAGCGCCAAACAGGAGGTGCAAGAAAAAAAAAAGGTTATGAGCAGAGAAAAAGTTAAATGTCTAAGATCAAAGGGGTGGACACCAAAGTCAGATCAGTGGCTATCAGATCAAGTGTATTTCCGGGGTTTTAGAATAAGAGTCAGATCAGAATTTAGGAAATTTGGAGAAGGGTGAGCTCTTCCTGCTTAAATAAACCCCTCACTCCCAGCCTCTTTGGGTTTGAAGAGACAAAACAAAACCATTTTAAAATGCAGTCCATGGCTAGACAAAAGTTTCCTACGTGCTTCTGCCTGGATGACCAGACTATGGCTTCTGGCAGAAAAAACCGAACACCCTTAGGACATCAAAAGGTCGATGCTATGCATCCAGGCCATTAGGTGACACCACATGGCCCAGCGCAGGATCACTCTCACGTCGTCAGAGGAGAGGAAAGGAAGCACAGAAAGAAGCCCTGCTTCCCAGTGCCTTTTCTTTGGTCTATGCTTCATGGAGCTCTGTAGCCTCCACCGAGCAGAGGCTTTTTCAAAGGTGACACACCCATCCGCCTTGTTAAGAACCACAGTCCTCCTGTGCTATGTCAGGCCTGAGGAGCGAAAATATCACCTGCTTACAGCAAATGACACTCTAAGAGAAAGGCAGGACTTCGCAATTTCCATCTCTCCCTGGATGTCTTTACCTTCAACTTTCCACCAATGCTCACACAGGCAGCAACTGCTTGACTAGTCCACCTCTGCAGTAATTACAGGAAGAACCCGTGCAGGCGTGCAGGCGTGCAGCAGCCAGCACAGGGCCTTTCTCTTCATTTCTCACCATGAAAGAGCAGCTCCCACCCCTCACTCCCATGCCTCTGGAGCAATGTGAAGCCTATGCCATCTGCTTGAGTAGCAAAGAAGCCATTTCCCTCCAGGTGCAAAGTTGGGTCAGCTTCCTGGGGATGAGGGACCAGTTTTAGATAATCTTCGTTCCTGGCAGGCTGGTGTACCTGTTAAAGCTAGTAAATGCCACGCTGTTTCTTCCCGGCTAACAGATGGTAAAATCTCTATCAACTGTTAGGTTTTTCCTTGTTTCCATAAAAATTACAAGAGTCATATTCCTCAAATGTATATCACCAAATGCATTTATTTATTTTGCACAGAAGTGTGGTAGTCAACTGCCATAATGTTATTTATTATTTATTACAAATGCATAGCAAACCCAGAAAAATGAATCTTTGAAATCAACTCCTTCTAAAAGACTTATTTTTAGGTTTTATAAAAATAAAAACAATAATGAAGTATTTCTGATTATTCTTCATTTACTTGATTTTAATCTTTTAAGTCAAGTCCCATGCAGAACTCAAGCCAAAGCCAGTCACGGTACATAAGAGGAAACATCCAGACAAGAAAGCATCATCATCTCCAAAACTCATCTATTCCTAACTGCAAGGCAAGGACATGAACTAAGTAACAATGTTTGTGAACCTAGCGGCTTCTTCCTGTTGCCGAGGAAAACAATCAACCACCCACCCATATGCCCATTAAGTGTCCTTACAATATCAGTTAGACACGGATAGAAAGGGTTGATATTATTACTAGACTGATGTTTCAAAATGAAGACCTCTCCATCATGATCACACATGTCCATTACCCCAATCCCTGGAAGGTAGGAACAAGAGGATGTGAGACCTATCTCAAATAAACCAAAACAAAGCAGGGAACTTAGGATAAGAGTTAGACACCAAAATATGGGGTTTTTTGTAGTTTTTTTTTATTGATTTTATTGAGCTTGACATTTTTCTCTGCTCCCCTCCTTGCCTCTCCCTTCCCTTTCAATCTTCTCGCATGGTCCCCATGCTCCCAATTTACTCAGGAGATCTTGTCTTTTTCTACTTCCCATGTAGATTAGATGCATGTATGTCTCTCTTAGTGTCCTCGTTGTTGTCTAGGTTCTCTGGGACTGTGATTTGTAGGTTGGTTTTCTATGTTTAAAACCACCTATGAGTGAGTACATATGATAACTGTCTTTCTGGGTCTGGGTTACCTCACTCAATATGATGTTTTCTAGCTCCATCCATTTGCCTGCAAATCTCAAGATGTTGTTATTTCAGAATATATGTTTTAAAAGGACATCATGCAAGAGAGACAAGTGTTTTGGACTCCCAAAATATTTTATTCCTCTCTCCCAAGAGATGAGGAGCTGCCCACAAACCAAGAGATAGCTGAGCTATCTAAAGCCCAGGTCCATAAAAGATGAGGATGAATGAACAAGAAACACAGGCCTCACAGAAGCAAACAGGACAGATGAAACAAAGAGGAGCTATTTCCCATGCAAAAAGAACAATGAAGAAAAGTATGGTAGCAGTTATAATTTCTTAACAGTTTCCAAGCAACAGAAAATTATCTTTTCCTACCACACACACGCGCGCACGCGCGCACACACACACACACACGGGTTACCACACAACCTAGAACTACAGCACAGACAAACAACAAAATTACAGACTGTAAACAGTGCTAACTAGGCTGATGGCATCGTCAATGTCGTCAGAACACTGCCCACTCATTAGCCTACCCCAGTCTCTCTACGCTGCCCTCCATGGAAGAAAGGGTGCTGATGAGTACAGCCAACAACGCCAGCTGAGCCCAGCGCTTGACCTAGAGGTCTCAGCTGGCCAGGAAGAGCTGCCTCCTCCCTGGTGTACTCACTCATGTGCAGCCCACCCACATAGGAATGCTCATTCCAAATAAACTGTCATTTCCCATGGAGGAGGCTTGTCAGCGAAGGGTGTATGGAGCCAACTTCAGCCCTTGACTGGAATCATGTTTTACTCTTTATACAAAAATCGTCCTAACTTCTGGTAAGTCTCCAGAGTGGGGGTTCTGCATTCATCATTTTCTGTTGTTATAACAACATACCTGAGGCCATGTACCTTATGAAGAAATGAGGTTCATTTAGTTTGGGAGGCTGAAAGTCCAAGGTCAAGGGGCCACATCTATTTAATCATCAGCGAAGGCCTTCTGGCTACATGACAGCATAATAGACGGCATCATATGGAGTACGTACAATTGAGAGAGCCAGAGGCCTCACCACCCAGGCCCACTTTTGCAGCAGCTCACTCTTGGAAGTAACCAGAGTCTAGAGAAGCATAAAGCCCCTTTCTACAGTGACCATCTAGACTAGACCCCACTTTTTCAAAAGTTCCAGCCCCTCAATACTACCAAGCTGGACACCTTGCTTCCATCATGGGGACCTCTGGGGAATTTACTCAAACCATCGCCCAATCACATCAGGGACGAGGCAAGAGCTGAGTTTAAGAGGTGAGAGTGGCCATCTCTTGTCCTATAAAGAATGCTGGCCGGCTAACCATAAGTTTAAAAGGCTCCTTTCAAATACCAGAAATCTGGCTCAGTCCATAACCAATTCCTGAATTCCAGATGTGAGGGAGACGATCGGAGCTATGACCAATCCCCCCTACTGCTGAGAAGCTGTCTCAGAAAGAGGAGAGAAAGGAGAAGGCGCTCATTCATCAGCAGTGTGCGTACCAGGTCTTCCAGGCACTAGAGATGATAGCACAGACCGGGGTGGGAGTGGGATGTAGATCAGCTCTGGGCTGGGCCTCGGAGAGGGTTGGGGAGAAGAAGAACCATCCAGGGTACAGAGACACAGATTGCTGCTGATTGGCTTTAAGAGTCGGGGAGGTGACCTTTGCCCTTGGCAAACAACCTGACTTCCTTAGCTAGAATTCTATTTTCAGAACTTCACGCCCTTGTTTGCCTGCTGCTAGCCTGCCATTGCTGCTTCCTCCACAATGGGTTTCTCTGGTCCCTTCCCCAAAGCAGTGGATGAAAAGCACTGCAAACACCCTTCCCTTCTTACATTCTCCATCAAAGATGGCTAAGTAGCCTACTTCACCGACCGTTTTTCAGTACCTGGCCAGCACACCGACAGGGGCATGGACACCAAGAGGGAGAAGGAAAGCCATGGGCGGCAAGGAGAAGTCTGTGCCTCGCAGACTGCTGCTCTCAGCTGGCAACATCAAACACACACTCCAAATTTATAACAATTGTTTTAGTTTTAATGAGTCAAACTAATTACCATCTTTTGTTACTTATAAAGCAAACATTAAAAGATCAGTAGCCCTGTCTCCAAAGAGAGAAAAGCAAGGCAGTCAAAATGTTACTTGTAAATCCCCTCCATCTATAGAGGTGCTGGACAGAAAGGCAACCGGGATTAAAGAGAGAAGCCATTAAAGAAGTGAGGGGCGAGGTGGGACGGAGCTCCAGTTTGGAAAAAAGACAAAGTCCCCCAGCTGCAGCCCCTTAGGGCTCTAAGCGGAGCTTATGAGGGGGCTGGTGAGGCTGGTAATGAGGGCAGTAACATCAGTGAGGGGCAGAAGGCCTGTTGAGGGGATGGGTGGCAATGGTTGTGGGCAACGGTTAATTTTGATGCAACCTAGAATCCCTTGCAAAGAGGGTTTTAGTGGGGGATTATCTAGATCAGGCTGGCCTATGGGCGTGTCTTGCTTATTAATTGATGTAGAAAAACCCAGCCCACTGTGGGCAGCACCATGTCACAGGCTGGGTCCTGGACTGTGTGAGAGTGGAAAAAATCCAATAAAGAAGCAAGGAAGAGTCTGTTCTCTGCGCTAGACGGTAGGTTTGGTAGGACTAGTTATCTGAGTTCTTACCTTGGCATTCTTTCCCACAGTGATGGACTGACCATGACTTGGAATTGTCAGTTAGAGCAGGGTGAGATGGGTGTGTAGTGCGGTGGAGGCTGGTGGCGGTGGTGAGGGTGGCAGTAACAGAACAGTGATGACGGCAAAGGGTGGCGGTGGTGAGGAACGATGATGGTGACGATGGTAAGGGATGAGAGGACGGTGGTAAGACTGTAATATCCAATGATA